AGTACATACCATGTTTGTACTCAATTATGTAAATGTACATTTTCTCTATCCACTCTTCAGTTTAGGGGCATCTAGCTTGTTTTCCAGGTTCTGGCTGTTATAAATAATGCTGCTATGAACATAGTGGAACAGACATCCTTGTTGTATGAATGGGCATCTTTTGTGTATATGCCTAAGAGTGGAATTGCTGGGTCTTGTGGTAGATTGATTCCCATTTTCCTGAGTGCTTTCCAAAGTGGCTGTACGAGTTGGCACTCCCACCAGCTGTGGGGGAGTGTTCCCCTCTCTCCACATCCTCTCCAGCATAAACTGCCCTTGGTGTTTTTTATTTTAGCCATTCTGACAGGAGTGAGATGGTATCTCAAAGTTGTTTTGATTTGCATTTCCCTGGTGGCTAAGGATGTTGAGCACTTTCTTAAGTATCTGTCAGCCATTTTAGACTCCTCTATGGAAAATTCTCTATTTAGTTCTGTACCCCACTTTTTATTGGATCCTTTGGTGTTTTGGAGACTTGCTTCTTGAATTCTTTGTAAATTTTGGAAATCAGCCCTCTGTCAGATGTGGAGTCAGTGAATATGTTTTCCCATTTTGTGGGCTGCCATTTTGTCTTGTTGACTATGTGTTTTGCCTTACAGAAGCTTCTCAGTTTTAGGAGATCCCATTTATTAATTATCGATCTCAGTGTCAGTACTACTGGTATTATGTTCAGGAAGTGGTCTCCTGTACCAATTCGTTCAAGGGCACCCCCCACTTCTCTTCTAACAGGTTCTGTGTGGCTGGATTTATGTTGAGGTCATGATCCCTTTGGACTTAAGTTTTGTGCATTGTGATAGACATGATCTATCTGCAGTCTTCTACAGGCCAGCATCTAATTATGCCAGCACCATTTACTGAAGATGCTTTTATTTCATTGTATAATTTTAGCTTCTTTGTCAAATATGAGGTGTTTGTATGTGTGTGGGTTAATATCAGGGTTTTCATTCGATTCCATTGGTCTACCTGTCTATTTTTGTGCCAATACCAAGCTGTTTTCAGGACTATACCTCTGTGAAGAATTGTGCTCATATTTTGATGGGGATTGCCTTAAATCTGTAGATTACTTTTGGCAAGATTGTCATTTTTACTATGTTGATCCTACCTATCCAAGAGCATGGCAGATCTTTCCATTTTCTCATATCTTCTTTAATTTCTTTCTTTAAAGACGCAAAGTTCTTGCTATACATGTCTTTCACTTGTTTGGTTAGTGATACCCCAACATATTTTTACCCCAAGATGTTTTATGTTGTTTGTGGCTATTGTAAAGGATGATGTTTCTCTGATTTCTTCCTCAACCCATTTATCATATAGTAGGGCTACTGATTTTTTTCAGTCAATCTTGTATCCTGCCACTTTGCTGAAGGTGTTTATCAGCTGTAGGAGTTACTTGGTAGAGTTTTTCAGGTCACTTATGTAAACTATCATATCATCTGCAAATAGTGAAGGTTTGACTTCTTCCTTTCCAATTTGTATTCACTTGATCTCCTTGTGTTGTCTTATTGCTCTAGCTAGGACTTCAAGTACAATATTGAAGAGCTATGGAGAGAGTGGGCAGCCTTGTCTTTGTTCCTGATTTTAGAGAATCCTGTTGAATTTCTCTCCATTTAGTTTGATGTTGGCTGTTGGTTTGTCGTATATTGCTTTTATTATGTTTAGGTATGTTCCTGTTATCCTTGATCTCTCCAGGACCTTTATCATGAATGGGTGTTTGATTTTTTTAAAAGCTTTTTCATCATCTAGTGAGATGATTATGTGGTTTTTCTTTTGCAGTTTGTTTATATGGTCGATTACACTGATGGATGGATTCTCGTATGTTGAGCCATCCCTGCGTTCCTAGGATGAAGCCTACTTGAGTATGGTGGATGATTATTCTAATGTGTTTTTGGGCCCAATTTGCCAGTATTTTATTGAATATTTTTGCATTAATGTTCATGAGTGATATTGGTCTGTAGTTCTCTTTCTTAGTTGTGTCTTTGTGGGGCTTAGGTACCAAGGTAATTGCAGCCTTGTAAAAGGAGTTTGACAATGAACCTTCTGCTTCTATTGTGTGGAACACTTTGAGGAGTATTGGTGTTATTGCTTCTTTGAATTTCTGGTAGAATTTTGCACTGAAGCCATCAGGGCCTAGGCTTTTTTTGAATGGGAGACTTTTGATGACTGCCTCTGTTTCACTAGGGGTTATCGGTCTGTTTAGATTGCTTATCTGCTCTTGATTTAATTTTGGTAAGTGATATCTATCCATAAAATTGTCCATTTCCTTTGAATTTTCGAAATTTGTGGAGTACAGGTTTCCAAAGTATGACCTGATGATTCTCTGGATTTCCTCAGTGTCCGTTGTTCCCCTTTTCATTGCTGGTTTTGTTAATTTGCATGTTTTCTCTGCCTTTTGTTTAGTGGGTTTGTCTATCTTGTTGATTTTCTCGAAGAATCAACTCCTTGTTACATTGACTCTGTATTTTTTCCTTGTTTCGACTTTATTGATTTCAGTCCTCAGTTTGATTATTTTCTGGCATCTAATCCTCTGAGGTGAGTTTGCTTCTTTTTGGTTTAAAGCTTTCAGTTGTGCTGTTAATTATCTAGTGTGACTATTCTCCAGTTTCTTCATGAGGGCACTTAGTGTTATGAACTTTCCTCATAGAACTGCTTTCAAAGTATCCCATAAGTTTGGGTAAGATGTGTCTTCATTCTCACTGAATTCCAGGAAGTCTTTAATTTCTTTATTTCTTCCTTTACCCAGGAATGGTGCAATTGTGCATTGTTCAATTTCCATGAGTATTAAAAGAAGCTTTTCCTTGAGAGAAGCCTTCCCGCCAGCCTGGTTGTAGATCCGCATCAGTCCCAAATAAACACACAGGAGGCTATATTAATTATGAAGCTGTTGGCCTTGCTTGTCTCTTATTGGCTAGCTCTGCTTAAGTAATTACCCCATAATTGTTAATCTAAGTATGTCTCTTACCGGAGAATAGTTCCGGGCTCCTACCCCATGGCGTTACATCTCGAACTCTCCTGTGTTTCTCCTTCCCAGAATCCTAGTGCAGCCAGGGCTGTTACACAGAGAAACCCTGTCTAGAAACTACCCCCAAAATAATAAAGATTGAGGATATGATAGGAGGGGAGAGCTGATGGTTTTCACAGTAGGAAGGAAAGCAGGGTGTTCCACCAGGGTCTTCTTAGTCCCCTGGTAATGGGCATAGAGAATAAGGAAAGGCCACAGCAGGTAGTGTGCCACAGAGCTAGGAATGGGACTGGGGAATGGATTTGGAGAAGAAGAGGGACAGTGAAGTTCTGAAACTCACTGATACTCACCCTTACTCCTTAGCTGGCCTACTTACTTCTCTGGCAGGCTTGACTGGTGCGTTCCCAGAGAATGCTTGCTGCAGTTGAGGGCTCAGATAACAGGGTGAGAAGGGAGGATGTGCTACTGGTTGTTTTTTACTCTTAACTCTTTTTTTGACTCTTTTGAAGGGCCCACCACCTAGCTCCCAAATAACTCACACATGGAGACTTATTATTAGTTATAAATGCCCGGCCTTAGCTTGGCTTGTTTCTAGCAAGCTTTTCTTTTTTTCTTTTTATTTTTCTTTTGGTTTTTCGAGACAGGGTTTCTCTGTGGCTTTGGAGGCTGTCCTGGAACTAGCTCTTGTAGACCAGGCTGGTCTCGAACTCACAGAGATCCACCTGCCTCTGCCTCCAAAGTGCTGGGATTAAAGGCGTGCACCACCAACGCCCGGCATCTAGCAAGCTTTTCTTAACTTAAATCATCCAGTCTACCTTTTCCCTCTGGGGTTTTACGTTTCTCTTCTGTATTCTTACCTTCCTTCTTACTCCATGGCCAGCTAGATGGCTGGCCTCTGACACCCTCCTCATTCATTTATTTATTTATTTATTATTTATTTTTGTTCTCCTTTCCTCGTTTCTCCTCCTACTTACCCTCTTTGCCTGCCAGCCCCGCCTGTCCTTGCTCCTGCCTCGCTATTGGCTGTTCAGCTCTTTATTAGGACCATCAGGTGTTTTAGGCAGGCACAGTAACACAGCTTCATGGAGTTAAACAAATACAGCATAAACAAAATCCACACAGCTTTACATCATTAAACAAATGTTCCACAGCATAAACAAAAGTAACACACCTTAAAAGAATATTCTACCACAAGGATGGTTGGAGGAGATCTGCATCATCCACTGGAGATGGGAGCAGAGAAGAAGGGAGGCCACAGCAGATGGTCTTCTATAAAGATGGGGGTGAGACTAGGAGTATGGACTTGGTGGAACTGAGAGAGACGTGAAGATCTGCAGTTAGCCTACCTGCCTTCTTGGCCAGCATGGCCTGAGAGGTTCCCAGGGAATGCCTGCTCCTCCTTGTACTTTCTCCATTTTAATATGTCCTACTGAATTGTACTCCCCAATGGCTGTGCTAATTTCCCATCCCATAAGCAATATATAAACCTACTCTATATATTCAACTCTTCTTTGGTTTTTCTTTGTTTTTATTTTCACATTGGTAAGCACTTACCACTGATTCTATTCTCCTAATAGATACTAAGTGCACAATATATTTTTATTTAATTTTATTTTGCTTTTTGTCATTTGAGATAAGGTTTCTCACTGCACCTCATGCTGGCCTGCAGCTCACAATCTGCCTGCCTTAGCTTCCCAAACCTTAGAACTAACAGGCATGAATAATTTTGTTGGGTTTATAATATGATGTTGATATCTATGTGAAAGACCCCAGGCGGGGGGACTTTCACGGGAGGGAGACCCGAACCCAAGGAGCAACGAGACCACAAGCTTGGATGCAACAGCAAGAGGCTTTATTTACATACGGGTACCCGGGCGTCTCAGTCTTGGGGGGGCTGAGCGCCCCCGAGCTGGGGACTCAGGGGTCCTTTTATAGCAAAAAGCGGAGTACAGAAGCAAGAAGCCTAGTTACAGGACCCTGATTGGGCAATATGAATGAAGCCGGGGCTATTGAGGTTTCTTTCAGAACTCAAGTCTCGGCCTTGGCCCTATCTGAGGAACAATAGGTCTCTGTGCCTGCCCAATCTTGCTGGGCTGGCTATGCAGACGCTATGCAGATAGCAGACACCTGTGTCCTGCCTGGACAGAGATAGTAGTGACTATTCAGCTGTAAAGACCTTGAGCTGAGCTCTCTTCTGACCAAAAAAATGACTATTCGGCTGAGCTGTGGGGGAAAGGAATTTTCCATAGGCCTCAGCCGCCTGTGCTGGGCCGGGGTCTTTCATTCCCCCATTGCTCTTGTAACTGAATGAAATCTTTCATTCAGAGGTTTCTGCCATCTCGAAATCCCTTTGCTTTAGCTGCTGGTATTGTTGAGTCAAAACCAGTGATTGTACAACTGATAACCTTTTCTTTATAAACTGGATCAATCTGTCTGTTTAAGATGCATGGCCCAAACATCAGAATCAGAAATATAATGATCAGGGGTCCCATAATGGTGGATATGAGAGTCGAATACCAAGGGGACCTGTTATACCAGTTCTGAAACCATCCCTGTTGGGACTCAATTAATTGGTGGTACTTTTGGCGTCTTTCTTTTATTTTAGCCAGGTTGTCTCTTACCACTCCGGTATGGTCTGTGTAAAAGCAGCATTCTTCTTTAAGGGCCGCACAAATTCCCCCCTGCTGTAAAAATAAGAGGTCTAGTCCCCTTCTGTTTTGGAGGGCTACTTCTGCCAGGGAGGACAGAGACTTCTCCAGGACAGCGACAGATTCCTCTAAAGACCGAATATCTGCACGCATTACTTGTTGTAGGAGTTGGAACTGTTTAGTTTCCTGCAGTGCGGCAGTACCAGTTCCTATTCCTGCTGCTATGCCTCCCATGGTTAATCCCCCTAGTAGGATGGCAGTAGTGATGGAGATAGGTTCCCTCTCACTGCGGCCAGTTCTTATCAAGTCATAGTCAGAGGGGTGGTAAATTACCTTAGGCCATAATTCGATCAGAACACAATAGTCAACGGTGGCATCTAGTACCGTGGTGGAGACACAAGGGGTTAATCCAGTGTTGCATGCCCAATATGTCCCATTGGGGGCTATCAAGTAGCGGCCACTTTGGGGCAAAGGCTCAGTGGCATTGCATAGTCCTTGATGCGTGGCGGGGACATTACCTATACATAGCCCCTTTCCAGACACTTCTGAGATGGTCAATTTATGTTGCATGGCTGTTCCACAAAGAGCCACGGCTGTGGCCTGATTTGTATATTCGCCCACAACCGCTAAGCCTTCATAATAGGGAAGTTGCGGAGTCAGACAAAGCCAGCATTCCTTAGTCTTATCTGGGCGAGTTAAATTCAAAGTGGCATATGTCCCTTTGATCAGGGCTAATATTCTATCTCCCGTGCCTTCAAGGGGGGGACCCGAGGAGGGGGGTTTGGGAGTGCTTTCTGTAGGCGCGGGAGCGGCTGTGGTTTTAGGCAGGGTCAGGAGCCTGGTATCAGCCTTGGGCATGAATAGGCTAGGCTGCTTTTGATCAGCAAGGACCTGGTTAGGGCCTATGGCCTGTGGATTGACAGGAGCCACCTTACATCTGATTGTAAAGATTACTCCCCTGTCTGGCCCGTATAGATACCAACGCAAACCCCAGGTATACCCAGTCTGCCAGTCCGGGGCTTGCTTTCCCTGCGCAGTGAAGGAAATGGCAAGGGGCATACCTATCATTCCAGATTGTCCTTTGTCCCAGCCTCTGCGTACTTGTATTTTATCCCAGGATGAGGATGGCCTCCAAAACGCATCCCCTGTAGTCTCGCACCCCCAAGCTGCACAGAAAAAGGAATCATGTCCCCCACATTTCCGGGCCTGTTGCCAGGTACGTCCATCTTGGGGGCAGACATAGAAGTCCTGTGAATGTAGCTGCTCTCTGGCTCTGCGACTAACACACCCGGGGGGTGGTTTCTCTAGAGTCCATGAATATGAATGTACGTCGACATCTGTAAAGGTGGGAACCACTGGCGCATGCCTTTGGGTGGCAATGGGAAATGTCCCAAGTGTCCAACCCTGCTACTAAATCACAAAATTCAGGCCATAGAGTAGGCCACCATGTCCCAAGTGCATGTGGCTCCGTGACAGCATAAATGACCTCCCCCATCTGGGAGAGAACCTCCCAGGTTAATTTATAAACGGTATGGGGACTGGAGGCCACACCAGTGTTTGATTTTATGAGGAGGGCTATTAGCAGGAGGGAGAGGAGCGGGTAAGTTTTATTTTTAAAGGATTTTGAGTGCGCTGAGCCTTCCATCCTGGGTCCGGATCCTCAGGGGAGGCAGCTTTTACATGCGAGGCATGTATCCAAGCAGCAATCCCGTCCACCTTGAGAGCAGTAGGGGTGGTCAACAGGACCGTGTATGGTCCCTTCCAGCGGGGTTCAAGGTTCTTAGCCTGGTGGCGCCGGACCCAAACGCTGTCTCCCACGTGATAGGAGTGAGGGACGATAGGGTGTCTCCTCTGGTCTCGGTAGGCTTGGGCCAGAGGCTTCCAGACTTCCTGCTGAACCAGCTGGAGTGCCTGCAGGTGAGCTTGAAGAGAGGAGGAATTGGCATAGTCAGAAATATCTTGGTCAAAGAACTGAACAAAGGGAACGGTGGTTCCATACAGAATTTCAAAAGGGGTGAGGCCATGGGGGCCCGGTGTATTCCGGGCACGATAGAGGACAAGGGGGAGCAAGAGGACCCAGTCTTTAGTGCCAGCTGCCAGCGATAATTTAGTTATAGTCTCCTTAATGGTTCTATTCATTCGCTCTACCTGCCCTGAACTTTGGGGTCGATAAGCACAATGTAATTTCCAATCAATCCCCAACAAGGTGGCCACAGACTGACTTACCTGAGAAACAAAGGCAGGCCCGTTGTCTGTCCCCAATACCTGTGGCATTCCGTAACGGGGGAAGATTTCTTCAAGAAGTTTCTTGGTGACCACCTTTGCCGTCTCGTGCTTGGTGGGGTAGGCTTCAGTCCATCCCGAGAAGGTGTCAACAAAAACCAGGAGGTACTTGGATCCATATTTTCCTGGTTTAATTTCTGTGAAATCTATTTCCCAATGCACCCCAGGCCGGTGCCCACGAGCTCGAGTCCCCATGGGTAGCTTTAGCCTGGTCATATTGACGCGGGCGCAGGCGTCACATTGCTCAGTCACTTGTTTTATTATTTCTTCTATTCCCAACAGGTGGCGAGTATTTTCTTCCCGGGCTAATAGTTCTCGCATTTTCCTGGAGCTCAAATGAGTGAGTTTGTGTAGGCTGTTAACCAGATATCTAGTCATTAGGTGGGGAAGGACAGTTTTTCCTTGATAGGTCCAGAGACCATCATGTACTCGGGTCGCCCCCAGTCTTTTCATGGCTTTGATGTCTTTTATCTCATAGTCCCATGACGGGGAGGTCTTCTCGGAAGCCTCATTAGTTACAGGGACTACAGCTGCCTGGAGGAGGTGGCTGCTGCTTTCCATGGCCAGGGCAGCCTCCCGGGCGGCCAGGTCTGCCCTCCGGTTTCCCCGGGCGACTGGGCTGTCGCCTTTCTGGTGCCCTGGGCAATGTATGATACTGAGGGCGGTTGGCAGGTGCAGAGCCTCTAAGAGGGCCAGGATTTCCTTTTTATTTTTAATGTCTCTGCCCTCTGAGGTCAATAGCCCCCTTCGCCTATAAATTTCACCATGGATGTGAGCGGTGGCAAAAGCATAGCGGCTGTCTGTATAGACAGTGAGTTTCTTACCTTCTGCCAGTCTCAGGGCCTGTGTTAAGGCAATCAGTTCTGCTCGTTGGGCTGATGTTCCTGGCGGCAGGGCCTCGGCCCAAATTGTTTCTGACTCAGTTGTCACTGCAGCACCGACTTTCCGCTCCCCTTGATGTACAAAGCTGCTTCCGTCCGTGAACCAGACAAGGTCAGGGTTGGGAAGGGGTTGATCCGTGAGGTCAGCTCTCGTCCCATGGACCTCAGCCAGGACCTGCAAGCAGTCATGAGTCTCTGCTTCCCCGGGGAGGGAAGTAGCGAGGCGGGGTTCAGGGTCACCGGAGCCCCGAAGTGGTCGGTCCTTGTCCAGCAACAGAGTCTGGTAATGAGTCATCCTGGCATTGGTGAGCCAGCGGCCTGGTGGCTGTCTGATGACCGCCTCCATAGCATGGGGGGCATAGATAGTCAAAGGCTGCCCCAAAGTCAATTTGTGAGAGTCCTTTATGAGAACTGTGGTGGCGGCGATCATGCGGAGACATGGGGGCCATCCTGACGCTACGGGGTCTAATCTCTTAGATAAGTAGGCAACCGGTCGTCTCCAGGGCCCAAGTTTTTGAGTTAGGACCCCCTTCGCATAACCCTCTTGCTCAGCCACGAATAAGTCAAAGGGTTTAGTCAGATCAGGTAACCCCAGAGCTGGGGAGCAGAGCAGAGCCTTCTTGATGTCCATGAAGGCTTTTTCTTGGCTCTCCCCCCAGTCAAAAGCAGCCCCCGTCTTGGTGAGGGGGTACAGGGGTGCTGCCATCTCCGCAAACCCGGGGATCCACAGTCTACAGAAACCTGCTGTTCCCAAGAATTCCCGCAGTTTTCGGGGGGTCTTGGGAGGAGGGATATCAAGTATGGCCTGTTTGCGGGCTTCTGTTAGCCAACGTTTTCCATCCTGGATTTTGTACCCCACGTAGGTGACCTGGGTCCGGCAGATTTGGGCCTTCTTGGCAGAGGCCCTGTACCCCAAGTCTCCTAAAGTCTTTAAGAGAGCTTCTGTCCCCCTAAGGCATTCCTCCTCTGTTTTGGTGGCTATCAGGATGTCATCCACATATTGTAAGAGGATGACCTCAGGGTTGTGGACTCTAAATCCGGCCAAATCCTGATGCAAGGCCTCATCAAAGAGGGTGGGGCTATTTTTGAACCCTTGGGGCAACCTAGTCCATGTAAGTTGTCCCGAGATTCCCAGGTCTGCATCCTGCCATTCAAAGGCAAACAGTGGCTGACTGTCTTTGTGTAACCGCAGGCAGAAGAAGGCATCCTTTAAATCCAGGACTAAGTACCAAACATAGTCAGGTGGCAGTCCACTCAGGAGGTTATAGGGATTGGGGACCGTGGGGTGTATGTCCTCAACCCGCTTATTGACTTCCCGGAGGTCCTGGACCGGCCTATAGTCATTGGTTCCGGGCTTTTTGACTGGCAACAGGGGAGTGTTCCAGGGGGACCGGCAGGGGTTAGAATGCCCTGCTCCAGTAGCCTCCTAATGTGAGGTTTGATCCCATCGCGGGCCTCCCGGGACATGGGATATTGTTTAATTGAGGCCGGGAGAGCAGATGCATTTAAATGGACTATGATGGGAGCCTGCTGGAGGGCTAGTCCCATGCCTCCGGTCTCTGCCCAGGACTGGGGAAAGTCGGTCAGCCAGCGGTCCTCGACCTTAACAGAATCATCCTTGGGCTCATGTATTCTATATTCCTCTTCTAAGGCTATGGTCAGCACCGTGAGTGGGGCCCCTTCTGGCCCCGTGACTCTTATGTTGGCTTTCTCGAAATGTACTTGAGCCTTTAACTTCGTTAGGAGGTCTCGACCCAGGAGGGGGTATGTACAGTCAGGAACATGTAAAAAGGAGTGCATCACCTTACCGGTCGCTAGGTGGAGCTGGCGGTCCGTGGTCCATCGATATTGTTTCCCGCCAGTGGCTCCTTGTACCCAGGCAGTTCTTCGGCTCAGAGGGCCGGGTGACCGATTTAGAACAGAGTGTTGAGCCCCCGTGTCGACCAGGAAGGTGACCGGGTGCCCCCCTACTGGTATGGTTATCCGGGGCTCAGGGGGGGGCTCCTGGCCCTGACCTCCCTAATCTTCGAGACTCAGCAGGTCAGAGGTCTGAGAACAAGGTTTGGGCCTTTGAAATGCCCTTCTCTGTTTCTTGTTCTTGGGGCATTCTCTAGCCCAGTGTCCTCTCTCCTTGCAATATGCACATCGGTCTCTTTCTAGGCGAGGCCCTCTTTGTCCCTCTCTCTGCCTGTCCTGTCTCTGCTCTGCTACTACTGTGGCCAACAGTTTAGTCATTTCTCTATTATGCTTCTTATCCCTCTCTCTGTCCTTCTCTTCCATTTCCTGCCTCTGACGTTCTGCCCTTTCTTGGTCCTCTTTTCTCCATCTCTCTTCCCTTTCCTCCCGTGTTTCTCTCTTGTTAAAGATGCGCTCCGCCTCCTTTAATACATCTGGTAGTGTATAACCCTGTAAATTCTCCAGCCGCTGCAATTTGTTTCTGATGTCAGCGGCCGACTGCCAAATGAAGGACATGGTCAGGCTAGTAGCTTGCCCGGGGTCCTCAGGGTCATATGGAGTATACATTCTGTAAGCTTCCTTAAGCCTCTCTAAAAATGCAGCTGGGGATTCCTCTGCCTTCTGAACAATCTGTCTTACCTGGGCCAAATTGGTAGGACGTTTACCTGCCCCTCGGAGACCCGCTACAAGCAACTGGCGATAAAGATGTAGATGGGTCCTACCTGCCTCAGTGGTGAAGTCCCAGTCTGGGCGGTCGAGGGGAAAAGCAGCATCAATTTCATTTGGGAGCTGCGTAGGTTGTCCATTTGCCCCAGGAACATTCTTCCGGGCTTCAAGGACCCGTTGTTTTTCCTCCGAAGTGAGGAGGACCTGTAAAAGCTGTTGGCAATCGTCCCAGGTGGGCTGGTGGGTAGTAAGTACCGACTCCAATAAATCAGTCAGTCTCACAGGATCTGCTGAAAAGGAGGGGTTATTATTTTTCCAGTTATAAAGATCAGAGGCAGAAAACGGCCAATACTGTAATTGGCCATCATGGCCCGTCCGGAGGGGCAGGGCAGTGGAATCCGGAGCGGGCTGCTCCATGTGGCCTCGCAGTCTAGAGGCCATAGGTGAGGGCTCCGGGTCAGTGGGAGGCGAAGGTTGGGCCTCAGCTGCCGCCGGTTGACCTGCTGGAGGAGCCTGGTACGGTGGGGGTTCCTCCGTCAGTAGATCCAACAGGAGACCGTCTTCTGGAGGGAGGACTTTGGGGTCTCTTTTTTTCTCTTTCTGCTTAGTTACGGTGGGGTACAGGCCAGAATGGGAGGACTGAGGATACGGGGAGGGGGCCAAAGGGGGCGGAAGGGGGTGCGGATGGGTTGGATTTGGCGGGCGTTAGGGAAGAGGGAGAGGGGGACCCTCCGGGGTGCACAAAGGGACGCACCCAGGTAGGAGGGTTATGAACTAACGCTTCCCAGGTGACTATGTATGGCACTTGGTCCGGGCGGCCGTGGGGCCCAGGATCCATCACTTTCTCTTTCACCTGGAAGATAATTTGAGAGTTAAAGGTGCCATCCCGGGGCCAGCCAACATTTAAAGCTGGCCACTCGGAAGAGCAAAGGGTGATCCATTCCTTCTTGCGCACATCGACAGTCCGGTTACGAGCATACTCCTGAACCTGTGGCCAATGTGAAAGGGTCAAACTGAGCGGAGTGGTAACTGTCTGGCCCATCTTCTCGAGAGTGATGACTAAGACAAACAAACAAACAAGAAACAAAAACGAACAGATTTTCGCTGCGCGGCTTCGACGTAGAGTCGAAAGCAAAACTTCAGTTGGGCTCGAGGTCGGGGGCCCTCCGTCCTCGTCCCCTACCAGGATGGAAAATCCCTCTGTCAGCGGGGGTTCCCCAAACAGACGTGGCAGATTCCTAGGCATCTACCCCAAACAAACGGTTCCTTAAGAACCTCAAATACAAACGGGGCAGATTGACATCCACCCCAAACAAATGAGTACTCCAAATACAAACGGGGCAGATTGACATCCACCCCAAACAAATGAGTACTCCAAACGCTACCAGGACGTCTCCTGGAGCTGCGGTCGGGAGTACGAACCCGTCAGTTCCTCCTCGGTGGCCGCCAAATACAAATGTATACAGCTGTATACTACAAACGCAGGCGCGAGAGAATAACAGGCATAGACAGACAGCAGACAACAGAAACAACAGAAATTTAGTCCGGACAATCCTTACCTCCCAGAAGTGGGTCGGTGGTCCCTGGGCGGGGTCTCAATTTCCCGGCCAATGCACCAAATGAAAGACCCCAGGCGGGGGACTTTCACGGGAGGGAGACCCGAACCCAAGGAGCAACGAGACCACAAGCTTGGATGCAACAGCAAGAGGCTTTATTTACATACGGGTACCCGGGCGTCTCAGTCTTGGGGGGGCTGAGCGCCCCGAGCTGGGGACTCAGGGGTCCTTTTATAGCAAAAAGCGGAGTACAGAAGCAAGAAGCCTAGTTACAGGACCCTGATTGGGCAATGTGAATGAGGCCGGGGCTATTGAGGTTTCTTTCAGAACTCAAGTCTCGGCCTTGGCCCTATCTGAGGAACAATAGGTCTCTGTGCCTGCCCAATCTTGCTGGGCTGGCTATGCAGACGCTATGCAGATAGCAGACACCTGTGTCCTGCCTGGACAGAGATAGTAGTGACTATTCAGCTGTAAAGACCTTGAGCTGAGCTCTCTTCTGACCAAAAAAATGACTATTCGGCTGAGCTGTGGGGGAAAGGAATTTTCCATAGGCCTCAGCCGCCTGTGCTGGGCCGGGGTCTTTCATATGTTCATAAGGCTATATAGCAGATAGCTTGAACTCACTATGTAGGCAACCCTTTGTCCTTCATCTCACAGAGACATGTCTGTTCCTGTCAGGATTAAAAGTATGCACCACCATGCTTGGTCCTCATTCCTGTTTTGTTTTGTTTTTTAATGTGGGTGTTAGGGTTTCAACTGAGCCATCCCCTCAGCTCCTGTGATCTGACCTCAGTTTTTTTTTTTTTTTGGTTTTTTCGAGACAGAGTTTCTCTGTATTGTTTTGGAGGCTGTCTTGGAACTCACTCTGTAGACTAGGCTGGCCTCGAACTCACAGAGATCTGACTGATCTCAGTTTTAATGCTTTGGGATTAATCTCCAAAGTTGCATTGCTGGATCGGATGATATTCCTGAATGACTCTTTTAAAGTGTTTGACTGCATAGAAGTCAGTTATGTCATATCTGCAAGATGGATGATTGAGAGAATGAGGGGTATGTACAAAGAAGTCCTGAGCATGTTTTAATATGCATGAGAAGTTTCCAAGTGAGTATTCTAGAGGAAAGAAAAGAATATTTAGTGACACATAGTTGTAGCACAAATAATAAAAACCCAGAGACAGATATTGGGGTTAAAGCTGAAGATCAGAGAAGCAAAGCAGCCAGCCACTAGAGTTCTCACCTCTACCAATGCTCAGACCAAAGGGGCAGATTGTTTCCTCTGATTGCATCTCCTGACTGCACTGCTCCTCAGACTGCCTCAGACTGCACTGAGCTCCTGCCTTCTATTCCTCTCTAGTGCTGGGATTAAAGGCCTGTCATCCCAAGTGCTGGGATCAAAGGTGTGGGCTCTGATTCTCTCTTAGACTGATTCACTCTCATGTAGCCCAGGGTGGCCTTGAACTCAAAGATATTTGTCTGCCTCTGCTTTTCAAGTGATGGGATTGAAGGTGTGGCCACCACAGCCTGGCCTCTATGGCTAACCAGTGGCTTAGTTTGTGTGTGGGTAACCAGTGGCTTAGTGAGTGTGTGTGTCTATCTCATGGATTAGCTTTGCACTCTGATCTTCAGGCAAGCTTTATTTGTTAGATTACAAGCAAAATAGCACTACACTTATTCCTAAGAAGATGAGAGCAGACATTAGCCAAAGCATAGGCAGAAGAATAGCCTGAGAAGAGGCTTTGTGCTTCTATTATGGCGATTCCCTAGCTTGCCTGTCTCCTCCAGGAACAGAGTGTGATGGTACACTTGGGAGGCTGACTCAGGAAAACCGCAATCCGGGCATCAGCCTGAACTGAAACTTTGTCTCAAAAGAAGTCCTTGGGAAGCAGAGGAAGGAGAATCAGAAGGGCAAGGTCATCGATGGATACAATGTGTGAGGCAAGTCGGTGCTTTGTGAACACTTAATCTCAAAAATAAAAGAAACAGGGCTGGAGAGATGGCTCAGAGGCTAAGAGCACTGACTGCTCTTCTAGAGATCCTGAGTTCAATTCCCAGCACCCACATGATGACTCACAACCATCCATAATGAGTTCCAGTGCCCTCTTCTGGCCTGTAGGCATACATGAATGCAGAACAGTATATAAATAAATAAACAAACAAATAAATAAATCTTTAAAAAGTAAAATAAAAAACAAATTACTAGCCAGGCGTTGGTGGCGCACGCCTTTAATCCCAGCACTTGGGAGGCAGAGGCAGGCGGATCTCTGTGAGTTCGAGGCCAGCCTGGTCTACAAGAGCTAGTTCCAGGACAGCCTCCAAAGCCACAGAGAAACCCTGTCTCGAAAAACCAAAAAAACAAAACAAACAAAAACAAATTACTTTTTTTTCAGGCCTGGCCTGATAGTGCACATCTTTATTCACAAGTAGAAAAGCAGATACATGTGAGTTCAAGGCCAGCTAGATCTACATAGTGTTATGAGGTGTCCACCATCGTAGGCACTGGGTCACTGATTCAAGTCAATAAAAAGTCTTATTAGCTGGCTGGCCACTACCCTGGGTGTTTGAAACCCAAGTACAGTCCTGAACCTTTCTCAGCACAAAGAGCATACCCTGGGTTGACATACCTCAGTTAGCAAGGGCAGTCAGCCTTAGAATCAGAACTACAGAAGCTAAAAAGCAAGGGTAGTATATTTAGGGACTTTCCCAAAACTATGGACTTCGATGGATTATGTCTTTGCTCTCATTTTAACAGGCATTAAGGTCTACATGCTGGCCTCTTAGGTCAGAATGGTACAATGTTTCTAACATGGTGTCAGATTTGCTGATGTCTTAAGACTGTCACAATAGCAAGTTCAGGGCTAGCCAGGGCTACAGAGTGAGACTGTGTTAAAATAAATCCCTACCCCAGATAGGTGCAGAAATACAAAATGCTACTCCTGAGTTTGGAGAGGTAGCTCAGAGGTTAAGAACACTTGCTGCTCTTGTAGAAGACCCGAGTTTGATTCTAAGAAGCCACATAGAAGCTCACAATTGTCAGTAACTCCAATTCAGGGGTTATCCAATGCCCTCTTCTGGTCTCTTTACAGGCAACACACAAACATAAACTACCTAAAAAAATACATCTTTAAAAGCCATTACCTTTTCACTCACCCTAACCCCATGTTTGTTATTCTGAGGCTCTGGGTAGGCACTGAGGGTTTGTGCTGCTCCGGAGCATTAATTACAGTCTGAGATCCACTATTCTACATAGGAGGAGGACACAGAGTGGGGACTGAGCTGTGTATAATGCATGTTTGTAGTCTGCAGATAAATTCAGATGCCCAGTTGTGGTGGTGCACGGCTTTAATCCCAGCACTCAGGAGGCAGAGGCAGGAGGATGGATCTCTGTGAGTTCCAGGATAGCCAGGGTTACACAGGGAAACCATGTCTCAAAAAAAGTTCCCATATAATAGCTTCTATTTTTTTAAATAGGAGTATGTAAGCATATAAAATATGTATGTAAATGGAACATTTAGTGATAATGAGGTATACAGAATCTGTATTATGTAATCCTGGCTGAATGTTTGATACTAGAAGATATAGAGTCTTCAATTTTTTTACTTTATGAAAGCTAACGCTGAGAATTCTGTTTCCCATACATAGGTAATATAAAATGGCAGAAATACTGGGCAGTGATGGCGCACGCCTTTAATCCTAGCACTCGGGAGGTAGAGGCAAGTGGATCTCTGTGAGTTTGAGACTAAGCCTGGTCTACCGATTGAGTTCCAGGACAGGCTCCAAAACAATACAGAGAAACCCTGTCTTGAGAAACCAAAAAAAAAAATTATGGCAGAAATATGGTTATGTGGTTTCAGACATTCTTGGAAATTTTGGACTAGTCCTGAGTCAAAATTAATTTGACATTTTTTATTCTGGAGACAGGGTATCTGTATGTAGTCCTGGCTGTCCTGGAGTTTATAGATCCTCCCTGGGATTAAAGGTGCCTTGCACCACAATGAGCTCCTTTGCATTTGTGTGTGTGTTGTGAATTTCAAGTCCTCAACTCCAAAAGCAATTATCTGAGGACAGGACAAAGCTACTTGTAACTCTGGCTAACATCAAATTCATTGTGTACTTAAAATTGGCTTTGAACTCCCAACTCTCCTTTCTCTATGGGATGGCTATTCTTTGGTTGTCAACTTGACTACATCTGGAATTAACTAAAATCCAAGTAAAAAGATGCCCTTTTTTTTACTTGTTTGTTTGTTTTTGTTTGGCGGCAGGGTTCCTCTGTGTACCATCTGCCCCTTCCTCTTGAGTGCTGCTATCACAGGTGTGCGCCACCATGCCTCTCCGAAGATCCACTTCTAACCCTGATCTTTGAGGCAGACATGCCTTTAATTTAGATCTTTCCATGTGGAAAGACATGTGCCTTTAATCTGGATCTGGAGGTGGGAATCCAGATCTTGAAGACACACCTTCAATCTGGGCCACACCTTCTGCTGGAAGCCTATATAAGGACTTGGAAGAAGGAAGCTTTTGCTCCTTGACTGCTGGCTCTCACCTTACTAGCAAGTCCATTCCTTCACTGACACTAGAGGCCACTTCTTCGGGATCCCAATGTCAACTGAAGACCAGCTGAGAGACTTCCATCTTGTAGACTGAGAAACTTTTGGATTCTTGAACTTTCCTGTTCATAGCCAGCCATTGTTGGGTTACCTGTCCCACAGTCTGTAAGTCATTTTAGTAAATCACCTTATATATATATATACATATATATATACATATATATATGTAATTCTAGGTGTTGATATTTGGTCTTGTCTTTGTTGGATGGATGTTTTATTCCTTTGTTTTTGTTGTGGTCTCTAGTTCTTAGGCAAGTATGGTGGCTGTATGTTGTCTGGTAGGAATTTCTTCTGGGATCCTGATAGATATGGCCACTGGGGAGCTTCCTAGTAAAATGTGTTTCTAGGTATTGAGTGCTGATACCTAGCAATAGGAATGGAGCTGGTGTTGGTGGTACATGTCTCTACTCCCAGTAATGGAGGCAGGGGCAGGACTAGGCTACCCTAGTCCACAAAGCCAAGTTCTAGTGCAGCCAGGGCTGCTACACAGAGAAACCCTGTCTAGAAACTACCCCCAAAATAATAAAGAATGAGGATCTGCTAGGAGGGGAGAGCTGAGAGTTTTCACAGGAGGAAGGAAAGCAGGGTGTTCCAGCAGTCTTCATATACATGTTCACTCTGTAAGTTCTGCTATTTTACTCTGGAGAACTCTGACTACCTCCCAAGTGCTAGGAGTACAGACATGAGCCACCTTATCCATCTTCAGATTGCAGTTTTCAAATCAAGCATTTTAAATTAATACAACCCAAAGATATACTAATTTGGTACTCACAAGCTGAGAATGGTGCTTTGAAAATATTATGTCTTTGTTCTCTGTAATTAAATTACTGTGTTTCCATAAGAACAGAAAACTTTTTATGTACTGTGTACTGTGGTGATATTCTGTTTATAGTCTAACAAATAAAGCTTGCCTGAAGATTAAAGTGCAAAAACTAGCCACACTAGTTAGCCATAGAGGTCAGGCAGTGGTGATACACATCTTTTTCCCAGCATACTAGTTAGCGGTAGAAGCTGGTGGTGGCACACACCTTTAATCCCAGCAGCCACACTAGTCAGTCACAGAGGCCAGGCAGTGGTGGCACACACCTTTAATCCCAGCACTTGGGAGACAGAAGTAGACTGTTAGTTCAAGGCTACATGAGATTAATCCAGGCTTAAAGAGAGCTCACACAAAGGTGATCCTAGCACTTTGGATCCCATGCCTTTAATCCAAACACTAAGGAGGTGGAGACAGGATTGACGTGGCTGGACAGAGAGAGGAATTTAAGAGGGGAGGAGACACGGGGAAGTCTAGGCAGAAGACAGTCTGAGGAGCAGTGCAGTCTGAGAACAAGGGAAGTTTGAGGATCTGTAGAGGTGGATGCAGGTTGAGAAACAGTCTGAAGCACTCAGTCTGAGGCATGTCAGTCTGAGGCAGTCTGAGGTAGGGGTAAGAGCTAGTGGCTGGTTGGTTTACTCTTCTGATCTTTCTGCTTTACACCTAATCTCCGGCTCACAGGTTTTTATTATTATTAATACCAACTAGAATTTGTGCTACAATGTGCAATAAAATCATTGCAATCTGTAACACACAATCTTCTCAAATCTGGGCAGAGGTGTTTCACATGTTTTTAGCACCATATGAAACAAAGGCATACACAAAGCCAAGTACACATGTTGTATGTTCAGAACCATGATCCAGCATGGGTGATAATGCCAGAAACATCTGAGATTCATTATGCATTCGATTTTTGAATTGTCTTTTTGTTGTTATGCATCAGGAGCCTTTTACTATTGTCATTTTTATTACGCTGCACACATCCAGTTACATTACCCCATATGAGGTCACATAATCCATAGTATAATAAGTTGGTGTCTAGAATGTTCTTTCTACAGTTGTTTCTCATTCTTCAGCTTTGGTTCTTCGTACCACCTCAATGAGCTCCTCCTTGACTATTCTAAGTAGGTTTCTTCCTCTAGTGCATACATTTCTATCTTTTTAAAAGACATTTTAAAAAGTCATCCGGGAGCCGGGTGGTGGCAGCGCACGCCTTTAATCCCAGCACTCGGGAGGCAGAGGCAGGCAGATCTCTGTGAGTTCGAGGCCAGGCTGGACCGACAGCCTCCAAAACAATACAGAGAAACCTTGTCTCGTAAAAAGCAAAAAATAAAAAAAATAAAGTCATCCGGGCTGGCCTAGTACTTACTCCCCATTAAATTCTAATAATTATTCCTCCCCCACTAGACTATTGGCCTCATTAGGGCAAAAATCAAGTCTATTTTCTTCATTTATCCTTGTACATTAGTTTCTTCTATAATCTGTAAAATGTACTAGGTACACTACTGGATGTGGTGACACACTCCTGTAATATCACTTGGGAAGAAAGGTAAAGGGCTCAAAATAGCCCCAGCTGTCATCGATGTTGATCTGTAGACCAGGCTTTCCTCAAATTCAGTGATCTACCTCCCAAGTGCTGGGATTGAAGATATGAGTCACCACACCAGGACCTCTGCCTCTGCCTCTGGTGCCGGGATTAAAGGCGTGCACCGCCACCGCCACCGCCCGGCCACGATGAATTTTTTAAGTTGTAAGGAAATTAGAAAAACCCTGATGGTGGGGGTTAGGGGAAATTCCCCTGCATCAAAAGGGTTAAGAATGTAATGTTTGCCCCAGGTGATGGCACACCCTGGTCTACAGAGTGAGTTCCAGGACAGTCAGGGCTGCACCGAGAAACCCTGTTTGGAAACACCTCCGCCCCAATGTAATTTTCCACTCCCAGTGGTGGCCAACGCCTTTAATCCCAGCACTCAGAGAGCAGAGACAGGCTAATATCTGTAGTCCGAGGTCAGCCTGGTCTACAAAGCGAGTTCCAGGACAGGCTCCAAAGCCACACAGGGAAACCCTGTCTCATAAAATCAAAACAAAAAAGAAAAAAATGTGATTTTTCCCTCTACAAGGCAGATAAAAATTTAGGATCAGAACCTGGTATGGTAGTTTATGCCTGTAATCCTAGTACTTGGGAATATGAGGCAGGAGGACTGCTGTGAGTTCCAAGACCAGCCTCAGTCTGATTGAGACTGTCTCAAAACACAAAACAAACTATGAGTGCTCACTTGAAGTTCAAACATAACTGCTAGCATTTTTCCTGTTTTTGTTTTGCTTTTTTTTTTTTTTTGAGACAGGCTCGAACCATTCCAGGCTATTCTGGAATTCATACCTTCATTGCTGCCCCACTCCCACGTCCCAGATCCTGGGATTAAAGGTGTCAGCCAGCACCCCGACTATCATCGTTGTACTTTTATTTGGCAGTCTTAACTCTGAGGCGCCCTAGCCTAGACTCCCTTGTTCTTGGTTGTAAAGGAATCTGGTAGGTAGTCAGTAATTGTTCTGTATGGATGGTTTCTCTGTGCCATTCAAGTTGTTTTCAACTAACATTTACTTACCAGATTCTTCCCATTTATTAGTTATTGCTCAACAAAATTGGGCAGTTATAGCGTAGCAACTAAACTTCTTTGTTTGCTATTTCTACAATATTGGCGTTGTACTATCTACCATTTTCACATTGCTTTTAGAATTAAGATTTTGTGCCAAGTAAGTTTTGTGCCATGCTTAGTGTATTAGGTCGCTCAATGGGTTTGCTTTTTTATTCAATAAATCTGGTGCACCTTTCAGCAGAAAGCTAAAAGACACCTTGGAGGAAAATGGGTGGGTGCAGGGCAAACGGTTAAAATCGCGCTCCTGCAAGAACTTTAAGAGACAAGGGAAAGAGGTGGAGCGAATAGTGAGTGACATAGAAGATGGCCTATGAAGAGTCTGGGAATCACTCCCCTCCCACCCTTCGTGCTTCAAATTCTAAGCTTAATTTCCATCCGGGTTCTTCAGCCTCGTTCCCGGGTCATATAAAGATTGCTGTCTCCTTTGTTCGCCCTCGTTGCGCAGTCGTCCTAGCGTCATTTCTGTTCCTTTTCGAGACTCGGCTACTGTCAGTGGTGCAGCACTGCTCGGAAGGCCACGTCGGCGAGCTCGCAGGAGCTTGAGACCGTCGCTGTCCCCTCGGGTAGGAGCTTCCTTTCCTTGGTCTGTTTTCCGTACAGCCTTGTCATGTTAGGGCTGGTGATCATTTGTTTCCCTGGAGATAGTGGTGGCGGACGCCATTTTAAGACGCCCAAAGGTGCCAACCTAATTAAAGCAGAAGGGGTAGAAGCAGCATCCTAGGGGGTCCGGTGTCTTGCGCGCGTCTCTGGGAGGTTTGGCTGTCGCCTGAGGGCGGAGGGCGCAGCGCGCAGCTTGGAAGGTGGGGCGGGACGCGGAGCGACCGCGGGACTAGCACCAGGACAGCACCGGGGCTAATGATGGGGTGGAGGACTTCTCTGTGGCTTCCTCCGGTCCTTGGCGGTAAGGAGAGGGAGCCTTTGGAGTTTTTCCTGCCGGTGTCAATGGCAAAAGTTAGTTAGCCCGGCGGTTGTTGGTGGTTCTGGGTTGGATCCAAGTGTCGCCATTTTGTCTATAACACGCGGTTTTTAATGAGTCTTAATTAGGTGCCGGCACAGGGAAGGAGTGTTAACAGTGTGTGATTCTGAGTTGCGTTATTTTCTGACTCTTGACACTTTTTATCTTTTCAGTCAGATAGTAATCTTGTTGGGGTTAGATGCGGCAACTTTGTTCTAACTTAGAGATTTGTGCCTAAACTTACTAGGAAATCAAGAAAAGGGCTTTGTTTTTACTTGGTGCATCTGGCTGATGACCTTGAATGAATAGGAAGTCTTTATATACCCTTCCCTGTGGGGAAGCTACTAGGGTGATAAGTAACGGAATGTTTAAAAGATAACAGGTCGATACAATAGCCGGGTGTGGTGGCATTTGCAGGTTAAGTCCTGCACTCTAGAGGTTGCAACTTTGTAAAAAAAAAAAGTTGCCTTTTCAAATAGCTGTTCTTTGACTTAACAGCGGCCAGAGTAGACTAAGAAGTTAGGAAATTAGGCAGGCCCTGTTAGCCCGGTTAATGAAAATGACACTGGCCTTTTAAACAAAAGTATTTCAATTGGTTTTCTACTCTTCTTGAGGGTTATTGGTGTCTTTAGTTACTAAAGAATAAAGATTTTTAGTAAAAACATGAGCCACAATTAAACTGTTCACTAAACTTAGGGAACTTTCTCCAGAGAGATAATATTATTATTTTTCAGCAGATTCCTATCGGTTGGAGGAAAAAATGGTTGAAGCAGATCGACCAGGAAAGCTCTTTATTGGTGGGCTCAATACAGAGACAAATGAGAAAGCCCTTGAGGCCGTATTTGGCAAATATGGACGGATAGTGGAAGGTGAGTTATCTAAAATTATGTGCTGTATTAGTATAATGAAAAGACAAGCTGTGATGAATTTGAACCCACTGATCTTTCTGACATGATAATGTATTTTGTCCTCTAAGAAGTTCTGAGCTTGCTTTTGGTAAATGTGCTCTGGTTATTTTTATTTGCATGAAAATAACTGACTCCCCCTACCCCCAAACTGTTTTAGTGCTTTTGATGAAGGACCGAGAAACGAACAAGTCAAGAGGATTTGCTTTTGTCACTTTCGAAAGCCCAGCAGATGCAAAGGATGCTGCCCGAGACATGAATGGAAAGGTATGATTGTCTGCTTAGTAAAAAGGGGTCTCCTGGTGACAAAAAGAACAAAGTGTTAGGTTCCAGAGCAGCTCTGGAACTTTTATTGTGCATATGTATATCCAGAGGCTTTTGATCATAGCCATTAGTAGTACTATCCTGGATTTTATTTTATTTTGTTGGTTGTTTTTTGTAAGTGTGTGGGAGGGTCTCTATGTGGTCTTGACTATATAGATCAGGCTGACCTCAAACTCAGAGATCCTCCTGCTAGAATAAAAGAACACACCAAGTGTCTTGTGTATTTTATTATGATTGCACAATCAAATTTTGTAGCTAATGTTAAGGGTTATATGCCTAACAAAAGTTAGTTCAGAGCAGTATATGACGTTATGTGATACTATTTATCTTGGAATCCATAAACCATAATTTGATAACCTACCTCTTTTTATTAGTTTTGGTAACAAGCTGAACACCTACCTAAACTTGTTTTAATTTTACTGAATATCAGTGCAGTGAATCCCTTGTCTAAAAGTAGACATTTTAAATGAATGGAAAAGTGTTATTTATAGAATAGTATTTCAAAAAAGAAATATTTCCATCATTTTTTTGTATAGTACTTGTTTGACAAAACTATTTTGAAGGACATTGATTATTTTTGTCATGGGTTATAGTGGATCTATAAGTTTCTTTTAAAGTCTTGATAACATTTATTTTTTTAAAGTCCTTAGATGGAAAAGCCATCAAGGTGGAGCAAGCCACCAAACCATCATTTGAAAGTGGTAGACGCGGACTACCTCCACCTCCAAGAAGTCGAGGCCCCCCCAGAGGTCTTCGAGGAGCAAGAGGAGGAAGTGGAGGAACTAGAGGACCCCCCTCACGTGGAGGGCACATGGGTAATGATTTGATTGGAACTCAGGCTTGGTGCTTAAGTTACAATCTACAGAGCCACACTAGTATCTGCATTCTTTTTGAAAGGCTAAAGCAGTGGTTCTCACCCTTCCTAAACCTGTGGCTCTTTAATACAGTTCCACATGTTGATGGTCTACACAGTGGTTCTCACCCTTCCTAATGCTGTGACCCTTTAATACAGTTCCACATGTTGATGGTCTACACAGTGGTTCTCACCCTTCCTAATGCTGTGACCCCTTAATACAGTTCCTCATGTTGATGGGCTACACAGTGGTTCTCACCCTTCCTAATGCTGTGACCCTTTAATACAGTTCCTCATGTGGATGGTCTACACAGTGGTTCTCACCCTTCCTAATGCTGTGATCCTTTAATACAGTTCCACATGTTGATGGTCTACACAGTGGTTCTCACTCTTCCTAATGCCGTGACCCCTTAATACAGTTCCTCATGTTGTGGTGACCCCCGACCATAAAATTATTTCATTGTTACTTCATAATTGTAATTTTGCTACTGTTATGGATTGCAGTGTAAATACAAGAATATCTGGTATACGAACTCGTGAAAGGGTTGTTCGACCCCTAAGATCATGACCCACAGGTTGAGAACTGCTGGGCTAAGGCCTTTGAAACGGAGACTACCACCCCATTAATTAGTGTTCATGGCTTGAAAAAAATATGGGAGGTGTAAATTAAATTATAGTGTTGAAACAATGGGCCAAATAGTCTTGCCTAAGTAAAAAAAAAATTTGAAGAGCAGGACTGGGCCTATTGTTTTCCTAGTCTACGAGACTTCTGGTTTTCTGAAACTGTCTCCCTTGTTAATTCAGGCTGGTCCTGAACAATTGTCATGCTTGTCCTTGCTCAATGGGAAACAAACCTAGCTTCCCCAAGTGAGCAGAAAAGATATTAGTGATGTTTTGCCTTTAGGCAAATAGTTCTTAATTTTTTTCTTGATTATTGTGTTAATGCATTTTCTTTCTATTCTAATGTAGATGATGGTGGCTATTCCATGAATTTTACCATGAGTTCTTCGAGGGGACCTCTACCAGTAAAAAGAGGACCACCACCCCGAAGTGGGGGTCCTCCTCCTAAAAGATCAGCACCTTCAGGACCAGTTCGTAGCAGCAGTGGAATGGCAGGAAGAGGTAATTGTTGCATGCATTACAATCTGCTGGTCCCATACCACTGTGTTGAAGCCAAGCATGGTGGTACATTTCAAACCTAGCACTGGGGAGAATAGGAGGATTGACATGAATTCAAGACAGGTACATGGGGAGATCCTACTTTTTATTTTTATTTTTAAATGATTGGTCAGTGAGATGACTCAGTGGGTAAAGCATTTGCTATTCAAGTGCAAGAACTTGAATCCAATCCCCCTTCAGAAACCAAAGTGGAAAGAGAATTGAGCCTACAGAGTTATCCTCTGACCCTACATTTGCATCACAGTCTGTACATGCTCCCACCATAGACACTAATACGTTTTTAATGCCTTATGTTTAAGACTGATTTAGGGATTCCTCCAATTAATCTTATAATTAGTGAGCACTGAAATTCAGTGACTGGGAGGCTTCCTGTTTCAGCTACATGGGATATTTGATGAAATCACTGTTTCTTAGCCCTTGTGTAAGTTCACACTTTAGCTTTTTGATGGCTATATTTTGATGATTGTTTTTTCCTGAAGCCCCTGTGTCACGTGGAAGAGATAGTTATGGAGGCCCGCCACGAAGGGAACCCCTTCCCTCTCGCAGAGATGTTTATTTGTCCCCAAGAGATGATGGATATTCCACTAAAGACAGGTAACAGAAAAATGCAGTTTCTTTTATGAAGAATTGTGTTGAAAGAGATCACATCAGAAGCATAAACCAAATTCTCTTTCTGCAGCTATTCAAGCAGAGACTACCCAAGTTCCCGAGACACAAGAGATTATGTACCTCCACCAAGAGATTATACTTACCGTGATTATGGTCATTCCAGTTCACGTGATGACTACCCATCAAGAGGCTATAAGTAAGTGCTTTGTGTTTTAAGTATTTGCTGTAAAGCTTCATGCGTCCAGGGCTTGGCAGATGGCTCAGCTGTTAAAAGCGCCTCCCAAATAACCCTGGCAACCCAACTTCCATCCACGAAAGCCATGCAAAGGCGGAAGGGAGGGAAGAGACTCCGCAGAGTTGTCTTTTGACCACAGGATCACCGTGCATGTGTGTCTCCTCATATGCTCACACAATTTATTTTTCCACTGGACCGCTAAAAATAAAAATGAGATTTGAGACATTTATTTTCAAAGGGTTGGGGGGGGAGTTTTAGAGTATATTGCATTTAAATTACGAAATTAACATGTAACTTAGGGGAAAATACATATTTAATTAAAAATTGCTTTTTATTTAGTGACAGAGATGGATATGGCCGGGATCGTGACTATTCGGACCACCCAAGTGGAGGTTCCTACAGGGATTCCTATGAGAGTTATGGTAAGATACCGGTTAAGGGTCTTAACTAGCACCAGCTTGAGGTTTTAGGTTCATGAGCTGGATTAATAGGCTGCGTGGTGCTTGCTTTTAAAGGAACCTTTGCTTGCTTTCAAGGGGTAACTTTATCAGCTGGGCTTCTCCTAGTTTTATGAAGGGCTTTTTGGTTCTTTCCTTGTTCCGTTGTTGTTTCTTTTCTTTTGAGGCTGTTCGCTTGCTTTGGAGGGGATTTTGCTTGCTTAAATTGGCAGCCTGATGTGTTTTCCCTCAACAGTGAAAATACAATTTAAAAATTTTATTAACAAGATCAAATATTTACCATTGCAATATGAAGGAAACTCAACAGTTCAGAATTGCAACTTATCACTGGAAAGTGGCTGAGTGTCTACTATAAAATAACAAGCTGTCTGGAATGTCCTCTTGAAATACACAACGTCTTCAGTCTTTTCAAACAAACATTAAAACCAATCCATTTCCGTATCAGCAGATGAGCAATTCCCTCTTATGACCAGCAATGGTAGAGTTTAAAACATCCCAGTTGAGAAAGTAAACTTATAATACAAGAATTCTGTAAATTCAGATTTAATGTTGTATATATACAATTTATAGTGTTGCCATATTACCTGACCATTGACCCTGCAGGTAACTCACGTAGTGCTCCACCTACACGAGGGCCCCCGCCATCTTATGGTGGAAGCAGTCGCTATGATGATTACAGCAGCTCACGTGACGGATATGGTGGAAGTCGAGACAGTTACTCAAGCAGCCGAAGTGATCTCTACTCAAGTGGTCGTGATCGCGTTGGCAGACAAGAACGAGGGCTCCCCCCTTCTATGGAAAGGGGGTACCCTCCTCCACGTGATTCCTACAGCAGTTCAAGCCGCGGAGCACCAAGAGGTGGTGGCCGTGGAGGAAGCCGCTCTGATAGAGGGGGAGGCAGAAGCAGATACTAGGAACAAACAAAACTTTTGGACCAAAAATCCCCATTCAAAACAAACAAACAAAAATGGAAACTTTCTGTCATAAACTACCCAAGGACTACTCAAAGGAAAAATTGTGTTACCTTTTTAAAATTTCCTGTTCCCCTTAATTTTTATGTTCTTGTGAGGGAAAAAGTAAGACATGTTTAATTTTATTTCATATTATGAGTTGCTTTCAACAAGCAAATGTTAAATGTGTAAGCCTTGACTTGTACTAGTGTTGTAATTTTCCAAGTAAAAATGTCCCTGAAGGCCACTTCCTGATTTTTCCCAGTAATTGAGGAAAGCCATCCTAAGATCTTCCAGAAACTTTCAGCCATATAGATGTCCTTTGGTCTCCATTGAGGGATGAATCGCCCTGCCTATGCAGACAAGCTAGCTATTACAGAGGGTTGGTTGGGTGTGCTACTCTTATGATTTCAGGGTGTCTTCCAATTGAAATCTCAATGTACACAGTATAAAAAAACCCTGAGATCAGATGCCTAGGAGTGTGCTATTTACCCAGAAACCCAAAACAGCAAATGGATGCTGGCCATATTTTGCTTTTCTGACATTTCCTTGGGAATCTACAAGAAACCTCCCTTTTCCCCTCCCCTAGTAAGACCATTTAAGTGTGTGTTAAACAACTACAGAATACTAAATAAAAAGTTTGGCCAAAACCAACCATGAAGCTGCAAAACGATGCTTGCTCTTACTGTTTCAAATTTTTGCAACTCTGTAGTGTCTCACTTTTAAAGGAACAGCTTGATTGCAAAGGAGAAAATAGATAAGCAATGAAGTTATCTCCAACTTCCTAAAGGCTTATGACTTCTAAAAAGTGAATCTATCAGCATTCCACATCAGATTTAAAGCACCAAATGCCTGTGAAACAGCAAAGATGGTAAGCAAAGCAAACTAGTTTTTCCGTCTAAGTCGAAATTGAGCACTTACCTTCCTCATAGTACAGTGAAACATACTGTACTTCATGGCAATGGAAATGCCTGCTAGATTAAAAAAAAGCTTTTGAAAAAAAACTACAAATGTTCAATAGCATATTAGAAGTCCTCCAAATTCAACACTTGGATTTTTTAAAAGCATGTATGACACTTAAAGGCGTTAATGCAGCTGTTTATCAGTAGCAATCTGGGAATTGGGAGGGGGGTTTTTTCCTTTTTTACAAATTTTCGATGAAGACCTTTAAACATGCTTCATGTTTTGACTTTTTTCAAATTAGTCTTTTAGTCAATATAAGAAATGGCTTAGGATTGGGGTCCTCCTGTCTGACCCCTATAAGCCATTGCAAACTTGACCTTTAGTTGGATGCCTGACTTGTTTTAGTTCTATGAAACTACACTGTATGGAGAAAAAAATGTATTGAAAAAACCTGAGGCAGCATGACCCAGGTCCAGCCATGAAGTTGAAAAAGATGCTCTTGAATATAGTAAACTTGAAGACCTCCAACTAAAAATCCTTAGACTGCACTTATTCCTTCAGATGTTTTGTCCGTTCAACTTATGGATTTAACGTGGCAGTGCACCATTGGAAAAGAATGAGAATCCATAAGCCATGCAACTTAACCATTTAAGCCATTCCAGTCCATCCCAAGCCAGTGAACCTTCCACCAATTAAGAGAAGTAGTAGAACATGAAATAAGCATTAAGCTGCAAGTCTGAACTTGCCTGTTCTCTCTGGAAAAAAGGGCAGTTATAGGCAAGTTTTAAAGAGCTTCCTTTAGAGAAATAACTAGTTTTCATTTATGTAATTTTTGCAGGTTGAACCTAATGGTCATACTGTCATAGAGTGCTGATTGATTCACAGCAGATAAAGCTGGCAGTAAGAAAAAAAATCAAATGATCAGGTGAGTGTTGAAAGCAGTGTCCTTCAAAGCTTTAAACACTGTAACTTTGTCATTGTATGACTATGGGATTGGCAGCTATTTTCTGACCTCTAGTTTGTCTGTAAAATGGAATATTGCTCAACTCTGGACATGAGGATGAAATTGTTTTGTCATAAAAACCTAGCACATCCATTTGGAGTGAAAGTATATACATGTATTTTCATTTAATAGAGTATAGGTAGTATGGACTACTAGGAGTTTCTGAAATAGTTGCTAACAGCTCTTTGCCTGCAAGAGTTCTTGTGAAAAGAGCTATCTGGTTAATAGTTTGCTATGTGAGCAATGTTGTTTGAATTGCATACATGCTGTCAGTGTGCCTGCTTATTTTCAATTGGCTAGTTAGTGACAGAGCTGCCACTGCAACTTCCGAATTTCAGGGGCACCATGTGACAGGGTGTCTGATTTTAATATTGCAGAACTGATGCCTAGAGTAATTGTAGTGAACATGGCTCCACTTTAGAGCTAGTACTTAAACTGAGAAGCCCAGTTGTGTGCACTTAAGGAGGAGAGACAAGTTCAAAGTGCTTTGCAGTGTACAATACTCTGTAACTTGATCACATGCTTCTTTTACAGAGTTGTTGAAGCAGAGGAATGCTGAGACTAAGCCGCAGCAGTTACATACCCAGTGCTCATCAGAATTGGTTTGGTATAGGCAATAGATTCTTTTTGTCTTCAAGGGAGGGAGGCATCAGTGTCGGTTAAACCTTAATTAGGGAGTGGTGATCTTTTAAGATTGACCAAAGGAAGAGAGGGAGATGGAGAAATTGGTAAGTGGAGGTACCTAGCCAAGAAGTTCTCAGGGCTCTTTGTGTGGATTCCGTAGTTCAGGCAACTGTGCAATTTAGAGCTGATGCTCACTGAGTTAGCTGGGACTGTAACTCCATGGTGGAGTGCTTGCCTAAGTACAAGTGAAGCCTAGAGTTCAATCCCTGGCACCACACACAGAAAAAGAAAACTGCTTCCATGATAACTTTATACACTGATGTATAGTTTTCAGCAAGTAAACCATTAGAGGAATTACCTTATCGGGGGAAAACATTACTTGTCCTATAAAACTTTGAAGGGGAGGAGCAATGCTAGGAAATAAAAGTAAAAACTGGCACATTGTTAGGATAGTGGGAAGCATTCTGGAAACAAATATAAGTCCCCAGGTCAGTGTAGTTTTACAAAGGAACTTGACCTCAGGTTTCAGGCTTAGAAACAAATCATGATCCAACTCTGGTATTGCTTTGGAAACTTAAGAGCCAGTAGTGTAAAGTGTTGGTGTTGTAGGACTAAAGGATTTAACAAAGTCATTTAGTACTATTACATTTGGCATTCATGACTACAGAGAATGATCCAAAACACTTAAGCGCCATTGGTGACATTTCTCATCAGATTGTGAGGGTACTGACCAAATTTTGAATAGCTGCCTTAACTCAAGCCTTCAATAGTCTAATAATTCCTTGAGTAGGTGCTTCTGTCAGGTACCTTCAGCTCTCAAGCATTTATTTAGATTTCTTAATGATACTTTAGCATAGGGAATACTAGAGTAAAAATAAATGATAAATTCAAAGTAAGAAGCAGGAAGAAATTACCCAGAGACCTTTTTTGTTTTTTTTTGTTTTTATTTTATAAAGTCTTTGTTTATTATAGCGTAACTTATGGTAAACACTTCATAAATTTTAACAACAACATAACAATAAAGTTTACCAAAGACAAGCAGTCAAAAGTGCTTTTTAATTGTTATACAAATTCACAGCTGGAGTAAGTCCATATTAAGTAGAGAAAGAAATTACTAGACTTGTCTTTACAAATGTAGTAGTGAAGCTACCATATAGGAACATTCATATAATATAGTCCCAGAGACCTTTTTGACAAACAGTAGTTTACAGACCCAACAGTTCTTAATCTTCAACTAGAAAAAAAACTGTCCTTGATTCTTCTAGCTATATACTTGTTGTAAGAGGATTTGAATAATACAAGAAGTGGTGTGGTTTATTTGGTATGGTAGTTGGATGTAGAGTTTAGGTATTATAGATCACTTTTTGGAATGTTTTGTATTGAAACCCAATAAAACTTGAACATGTATCTTTGTGGTGTTGGGTTCTTTTTTTAAAACACTTTTGAAAGTAGAAATTCATATAGGGTTTTCTGTGTTTTTTTTCTTAACTCATCTCCCCCAAACGTCAGTTCTAGGGTGCTGCTAATACTTCTGCAAGGGGCTATCTATCCATAGTCCCTGAGGTAGGCTGACCACTGGCCTTCCTCTATTGTGATGAGTTAATCTTATATAAACATGGTCATTCAGATGATTAATCCTTAACCTAAAAATGTAAGAGAGAGCTGTCACACCTAAGAAGTAAAGACTCATTTACCAAGAATTTCTGCTATTGCTTCTACCTTGATGTCCTGCATATCTTGAAGGGGTAGGGACAAAGGTGGGGGATGGGTTAGTAAGAAGTAGTTTATGATAGTGAATTTCAGTACTTTGGATCAGAGTCATTCACTGGTGTTAATAGAATAGCCCATAATTATATGCTTCTGTGTGGGAGGTTTCTAGCTTAACTTTCTGTGAAGTATACATTTAAGGGTGGCAGAATGTTGATTTCACAAAACTTATTTGACAAAGGAAACTAATAACCTTTATCAGACTATGGGAACTTGAGTTCCATCCCCAGAACCAAAATAAAAAGTCTTGAATGGAGGTTCATGTGTAATCCCAATGCTCAGGAGATGGAGATAGAAGGATCCTTGGGACTTGCTGGCTAGACAGACATTGAGAATTTATTGGAGAACACTGATGACAATTGATTTGTAATTGGCATAGAAAGTAATAGGGTTCTGTGGCATCACTGTGCATACTTTGCTTTGTTGATTCTCTCTTCTATCCCTGCTGCTGCCCTCTTGCTATTCCCCTTATACTAACCCCCACTTAAGATCTATTTCCTCTCCGTCTCCTTTCTTCTTGGACCACATCCCCCTTTCCCACTCATGTGTATAGTATACATAGATATTCAAAATCTACGCTCAGCTTGCCTAACATATACAAAGTCCCTAGTACCCTATAAACCAGGCATGGTGATGTATGCAGGGAGTTGAAGGCCAACCTAGGCTACATGAGACTTGATCTAAAAAAAAAAAAGCTGTAGAGATGGCTCCGTAGGTAAGGGTACTTTTGCCGCCAAGCCTGATGACAACCTGAGTTTGGTCCTCAGGATCCATATAGTGAGTGAGCATGGACCCCTGCAAGTTCCCTGCCAAGCACATGTGCATCATATACTTGCATACACCGGGCCTCAAAATACATTTTAATGATCATAGGAATAATGGTCGTAACCATAGGAAGTAAGTCTTTTTTTTTTTTTTTTTTTTGGTTTTTCGAGACAGGGTTTCTCTGTGGCTTTGGAGGCTGTCCTGGAACTAGCTCTTGTAGACCAGGCTGGCCTCGAACTCACAGAGATCCGCCTGCCTCTGCCTCCCAAGTGCTGGGATTAAAGGCGTGCGCCACCAACGCCCGGCTAAGAAGTAAGTCTTAATATGATTTACAAATCTGGAATCTGTGCCTGAGAGAATCTTCCCCTCTTGAGTCTATCAGAGTCCCCAAGGAAGGCTCCAGCAGATCTTTGCCTTGAGGGAAATAACCAGGACCTGACAGTGTAAAATTGGTTTTTTCTTTGTAACTACTCATGTAACATGCTCCATGATTCAATACTACTGTGAATTGACAGTTCCAATTGCTGTCTTACAGTGGCGCTGAAGGAGGGAATGGTCTTCCCAACACTAAGTTTGGGACAGGACACTTATACGCAAAATTTCTTCCCCCAGCCTCCTATATCTATGGTGACATTCATTGTAGGTGATACCCCTCTCCATCCCAGTCTCCATTACCTATCTCTAGACATATTTCTTACTGAGTTAAAACTCTCACTTCAGCATTATCCCTTGTACGTAGAACATGGGGGAAATTAACTCTGTAGTTGATTTCTCACCTGTAAAGAGGGTTGATAATCTGTCTCCCCGAGATGGAAATACGATTGAGTTCCTGTGCTTGCCTCATAGTAAATATTACATAATTTTGTTTTTTCTTGCTTTTTGTTTTTGTTTTTTGTTTATTTTTTGGAGACAGTTTCCCCTGTGTAACCCCCACTGTCCTGGAACTTGCTCTGTAGTCCAGGCTATCTTTGAACTCAGAGATCTATCTTACCTCTTCCTCCTCGGTGCTTGGATTAAAGGCATTCACACCATCACCCAGCAAAATTATTAAATATTATTTTCCACCAATTTCCCTCTTGTATTTAGGACTGCGCTTTTGGAGGAGGGATCTAGTTCTTACGAGCTGAGTTTGTATGTTAGTTAGTTCACATGTATTCTCATTCTCGAGCCGAGTTTGTATGTTGCAGTTAGTTCACATGTATTCTCATTCTCGAGCCGAGTTTGTATGTTACAGTTAGTTCACATGTATTCTCATTCTCAAGCTGAGTTTGTATGTTAGTTAGTTCACATGTATTCTCATTCTCGAGCCGAGTTTGTATGTTAGTTCACATGTATTCTCATTCTCGAGCCGAGTTTGTATGTTAGTTCACATGTATTCTCATTCTCGAGCTGAGTTTGTATGTTACAGTTAGTTCACATGTATTCTCATTCTCGAGCTGAGTTTGTATGTTACAGTTAGTTCACATGTATTCTCATTCTCGAGCTGAGTTTGTATGTTAGTTAGTTCACATGTATTCTCATTCTCGAGCCGAGTTTGTATGTTACAGTTAGTTCACATGTATTCTCATTCTTGAGCTGAGTTTGTATGTTAGTTCACATGTATTCTCATCCTCGAGCTGAGTTTGTATATTAGTTAGTTCACATGTATTCTTATTCTCGAGCTGAGTTTGTATGTTACAGTTAGTTCACATGTATTCTCATTCTGTTTTCACTTTCCTCCATTCACAATGTCCCCATTAGCAACTAATTGTTTTGGTTTTTTTTTTTGTTTGTTTCTGAGTCAGGGTTTTTCTGTATTGCTTTGGAGCCTGACTGGCACTAACTCTGTAGACCAGGAAGGCCTGGAGCTCACAGAGATCCACCTGCCTCTGCCTCCTAAATGCTGGGATTAAAGGTGTGCGCCACCAACACCCAGTAAGCAACTATTCTGATACAATGTATGCCCTTTTGTGTTGGTTTGCTTTTTTTCATTTTGAGACAGATGTGTAGATCAGACTGGCCTCACAGTCATAGAGATGCACCTGCCTCTGCCTGCCGGCATTAAAATGTATGCTACTATGCCTGGTCCAACCGTCATACTGACATTTTTGAGACAAGGTCTTACATAACACATACTGACCTTGAACTGCTTATCTCTTCTTTCCCCTCTAATGTGCTAGTATTATACTATCACACCCAGTTTACAAAGTGCTAGGAATAGAACTCAGGGCTTTGTTCATGGCTAGGCAAGCACTCTACCAAGTTATATCTCCCTAGTCCTATATTAATGTTTTCCATGTGTGTTTTAAATTACATCCATTTATAGTATTGTGTATATCTCTTGCCTTATGAACTGTTTGTTATCAATGCTTGAAAGATTTACCTAGAGGGCAAATATGAATTTAGTCCATTGCTTCTGGTTATAGCATAGTGTTTATTATATACTGACACTCTACCATATTTTGCCTGCTCATTCTTCCCAGCTTGATCTGTAAGCCCTTAGGTTGTGTGACATTTGACCCTGGTTGTAAGCCTATTGTTAGTTGAATATGGTTGTGGTGGATGTAGACGAAGATAGTATATTTCAAAGAATCATCCCAGGCAAGTTGCCTGTGATTTTTAAGCAGAGGAAGTCTTATTTCTGCAGACAGTAGGGCAAGCTGCTTCAGTTTCAGCAGGGAGGGGTCCAAGTGTGGATGCACTGTCACATGAGAGACGTGATAAGATTCAGGTGTCACTCAGAATTCTTCACAGCTGATTTTCAGCAGTATCTGTCCTAAGATTATACGAAACAAGCTTCTGTATAGCTATTGGGAAGCCCTCTGGTTCTTAGAGCAGCTGAACTGCAATTTTCTTTGTAGCCACAAGTAAAGAGCAAGAATTCATCCAGTCAGTCCCTGCCATGCAGTTGTTTCCACTACCACCACAGTGCAGCAGTCCCTGACGATTGCAGACATTTGTGTCACTCTATGACAAACAGTTGGCACTTTATGAATCACAAAATGTGGCTTGATTGTGATGTTCCTGCCTGCTGGACATTGCTAGCAGCTCAGTTCTCATTTGCTGAAAGCACTGTGCTCAGTCTGAAGGCATTTAGTTAACGGTCCCCATATGCTGTTGTGGCTTTATCTCTTGAGTTCCCTCTCTAGGCTCTTGTAGACACTAACTCATGATCAGGTTGGATTTGAGGAGTAAGAACACAGTATTTTGTACAAGGAAAATTTAGTATGAAGAATTCCCTAATGGGTAGGAGTAATGGAAGTAAAGGAAACTAGGGAATACAGGAGGGCTAGCTAGAATACCAAGCATAACATTACTATAATTACTAATCCTAGGGTTGAGATTAGAGTGCCCATGGAAGACCCTCCCCCAACTTTGTAGTCTTCTAAAACTACTGCAGGACTATTCTGGAATATCAGGGAGGAGTCTCACCAACTACTTCAGAGAAATCAAAACTTGAAGAGGCATGGCTGGGACTTTTTTAATGTTTAAGGAGGCCCTGGTACCACAATAGCAGAACCTACTAGAAATTGCCCTCCAGGTGCTGGGGAAAGTACAGAAGGAAGTGTCTTGCCAGATAAACATAAACATAAACTCAACATAAACACTGCCTAAGGGTGTTTCTGGGGAAGCTGTTACAGAGCCCAGAACACACGTACCCTGTACAAGCACAACACAGACAGTCTCCTTGAGCTAGAGACCGAACCAGGAGGCAAACCCAAGTCCTGTGGTGGCTTACTAACGCTTCACCTCCAAATGTGCCAGCTGGCAAAGGGTCAGGATTTGTTTTCATGGAACCAGAATAAAGGGAGTTTGGAGTCTGAGGCAGTTAGAAAAAGAAAAAACTTAAAAGCCTAAACCGAATAAGGGTGTGTTTCTTCCAATGTAACTATTTT